GAAGAGGGAGTCAAACTATTCTCCAAAGCATCTGAGGGCAGGACAAGAAGCAATGGGTAGAAACTAATCAAGGAAACCGTACACCACTTCAGACAAATTGATATCCAACATCTTCTTAAAAATGTCCAGTGTTAGAGCATTCACAACTTCTGGAGACAAGTTGTTCCACTGAATAATTGTTCTAACTGTCAGAAAATTTCTCCTCAGTTCTAAGTTGCTTCTCTCCTTGATTAGTTTCTACCCATTGCTTCTTGTCCTGCCCTCAGCTGCTTTGGAGAATAGTTTGACTCCCTCTTCACTGCAGCAGCCCCTGAGATATTGGAACATTGGTATCATGTCTCACCCTAGTCCTTATTTTCATTAAACTAGACAAATCCAGTTCCTGCAACCGTTCTTCATTTAATGGGTAGCCCATTAAATGTTGCATAGAAAGCTCAAATATACATAGGAAATGAAATTCTTCTAAGACCCTATTGAAATTGAGGTATAATCATAAAAAATAAATAAAAGGGAATAGGAAAAAATAGCACTCCTCTGTTTTCTCTATTATCCCATTATTGTTCCCAATATTTTACATGCAAAGAGGGAAGAAGGTTTATTTGGGGCATATAGGAGATCTATGGGAGGGCATGGAGAATAGGGAGAGTCAGAGGGAAGGAAATTAATTTTTCCTGCCTGTTGGAGTTTTTCAGAAAAAGATGTTGTACATCCTTTAATGTTAAGCAGCATATGGGGTAGAAGTGATTAGGATACCTTTTCCCCTCATTTGTTTCAGGTTTCTTGTTACCTAACTTCTTTTGAATGCTGTTTTCTTTAGAAAAAGTAGAAATATGAATTCTTTGGCTGTTTGCTAGCATTGTACAATTCCTGGGTCAAGTGTAATGCATAAATTAAAGGTTGACAGCATTATTATTGTGGAAGGGTTTTTTTCTCCTTTTACAAAAATGAAATGCCAAAGTCTTGTCTTAAATACCTGCAATTCCTTTTTAACCGAGACATAGGTCTTCACGTGATTTTCCAGCTGTTTGGATCCAAAGGACCATTACGCTCTTCACAGAGATTTCCCTTGGTTGCCAAGCATCTCATTGTGAACTTGGAAAGCCACAATTTTCCCCCTGCCATGGAATTTAGGCTACTAAGCAGCTTGCTTTAACAGCAGATGATGGAATGCTCTACAAAGAGAGAACCTGGAAACATTTTATGCTATTTGGCAACCAGTTCAAGATTACTTGACTCAGTGAAATATGACTTAGTCTTTATCACCTAGGTGTTCCTGGCCAGCTCTTTCTTCTGTTTTTTACATCTATCTTTGCTTCCCACAGCTTATTTTGTATGTGAATTCTTCCCCGGTCCCAAGCAATGGGTAAACATATTGTTTTTTTCTTTTGGTCTGTTGGTTTATATAGTATATAATTCAAGATCTACTCTGGCACTGCAGATAATAGGTTGATCTGTGCAATTGGAGGTCTCTGACTCAGCTGTTGGAATATGGGACCATAAGAAGTTGCTTTATATGGACAAAGTTCATATGTTGAATTATAGTAGCTATAATATATTTGTTTGGTTTTGCTGGGTTAGGAATTCTGGGAGTTGAAGGTTTGGGAATTCTGGTAGTTAAAAGGTGGGGAATTCTGGGAGTTGAAGGTTTGGGAATTCTGGTAGTTAAAAGGTGGGGAATTCTGGGAGTTGAAGGTTTGGGAATTCTGGTAGTTAAAAGGTGGGGAATTCTGGGAGTTGAAGGTTTGGGAATTCTGGTAGTTAAAAGGTGGGGAATTCTGGGAGTTGAAGGTTTGGGAATTCTGGTAGTTAAAAGGTGGGGAATTCTGGGATTTGAAGGTTTGGGAATTCTGGGAGTTGAAGGTTTAGGAATTCTAGGAGTTGAAAGGTGGGGAATTCTGGGAGTTGAAATCTATATGTCTTAAAGTTCCCAAGTTTGAGAATCATGGACTTAACCCTGGCTCTGTGGAAGAGACTCCAGGAACTCTGTTGGAAGCAAAGACAGAGTGACGTATCAACACGCATACACTCAACATTTGGGCTATCATCCTACTTTACGTTCATGTAACCTGCCACCCAAAACTAAGCCCAATACACGAGAGGAGGACATGGGACCAGACCAAGGTGATGTTGCTGCAGTGGTAGCAGAACATGTGCTACCTTAGCCATGACAGTGTACTAGTGATCTCTGCCTGGGCACAGGATAATCCTTCCTTCTGAGTCTGAAACTGATTCAGTGATTGTATCTCTCCACCAACTATTCAGTGTTCAGCTATGGCCCAGGAATAAAGAGGAGCTGAAAGTCAATGTGATCATCACAAGTTTTATTAAGGTGCTGTAAATACTTACAGGAGTAAACATGTTCCCTGTATCAGGTATACATGTTCTCTTCTTGCCATAGCACAACTGTGCCAAGGGGCCGGTTTATAAGGTTTTTATAACCATTCACAAAACAAATTGTGTGAGAAGTTAGTTTAGTAAAATGTTATTCCTGTAAACTCTTCAGTATCTCTGCACCTGACGTTATCTCAGTGTGCATTTTAAGCTCTTCATTCACAATTTCAATTAAATATTTTTTTTAACCAAACAGTTGGATATTAAAATCAAGATTTCTTACAAACAAGCACAAAACATTCCATTACATGACAATCCTTCTTAATTCATGAAGTCACATTCATACAAAACTGTTCAAGCAGAAATTTATCCAGCCTTGTTCTCAAAATATCTTGAAGCCAAAGCAATAGCAAAGATTGTTCAAAGCAGTATGCACCTCTTGATATTTGCTTTAAATTACTATTTCCTACCTCCTGCACGTCCCACTTAAATGACAATTCATATAACCACAAAGACTAGAATGTTGGAAGAGAGTTGTAATAATGATAGAACACCCAGTTTTTAATTTGCTAAAAAGAGATATTGTGCAGGACTAAACCATTTCCAGATGCAGCATCTTGTATCAGAAGAAATTCTTAGGGTGGAAGAGAGGTGAAATTGGTAAGTATAGCAAGAGGAAAAGAAAAAGAATAGTTAGAAAGTATAATAATATTCAAAATACATTTTTTTGAAGTGAGTAGAAGATGTTAAACCCACACAATGTATATTTTTTGATCTATAAACTAGGATTTGAGAGGTCTATTACCGTATTTTTCAGCGTATAAGCGTATTTTTCCCTCAAAAAAGAGGCTGAAAATCTGGATGCATCTTATACACTGAATACAGCATTTTTTGCCACCCAAAACCCCACCCCTTCACCAAAATGGTGATGTATAGCCTTTAGGAGGCTTTCAGAGTGCTCCTGGGGGCTGGGGAGGGCAGAAATGAGCAAAAAACAGACCATTTTTTTGCTCAGGTTTGCTCCCCCATCCCCCAGGAGCACTCTATAAGCCTCCTAAAGGCTGAATGTCATTTATTTTAAAAAATGGGCCTGTTTTTTTGTGAAAAATGGGCCATTTTTTGTTCATTTTTGTCCCCCCAGCACTGTACAAGCCTCCTAAACGATATTCATGCCCTTTTTTTTTGGAAAAAAGGCCCGTTTTTGTGAAAATTGGCCATTTTTGGGAGGCCTGCAGAGTGCAAAAACTTTTTTTTAAATTTGTCTCTTCAAAATCTTGGTGTGTCTTATATTCCGGTGCGTCTTATAATCCAAAAATATGGTATATTATTACTTACATATACTATTATTTGATAAATACCATGCAGATATGCACACACCATCTTCCACATACGCTTGGGTGTGCTAACACTGAAAAAGCAGAGGAATTGGTGGTTGATGTGTGAGACCCCAAAATTTACATTCCCCAGAAAAACAGTCGGAAAAACTGACCCAACTTTTCAGCACAAAAAGGATCAATGGATGGTTAAACTTACTGAAATAAAAGCCTCTTTCTCCACAGACAAATTGAAGAGCATCAACCAACTCAGCACCACAAAGTGTTTCTTGGCCGGCAGCAGCAACAGAAGAGCTGGTTAATGTGAGCAAACATAGGCCAAAGTAGAAGAAATTAATGGATGTTGCAGTGAGCATTTTTACCTGTGAATGAAATAAAAACAAAACTCTGTCAGTGTTTTTTCAGATAATCCCAATAAATAAGGTGCTTATTCATGTAGAATCTACATTGATTGCATTATTAGCACAGAGGCCCATTCAGAAAGAATTATTACATATTGAGGAAAATTCTGACGAAATAACCATGAACCTTGTCTGCCCAGCACTAATGTCTATGTGCAATTTCAAATTTCTACTTCTGATAGTTCTTTATTTTTAAATAGAATTGACTGGACAGCCCTTTATACAGATCAGAAACTTCATTCAAATAGATCCTGGACAACTGTGTAAACTAGGACAGTGGTCACCAACTTTGGTGGTCTGCAGAAAAATTATTTGCATTTTTTATATTGCACTAATTCAGGGGTCCTCAAACTACGCCCCCTGGGCCGGATACATGCAGTGAACATTTTTGTTGCTGCAGAGAGTCTCCCACTTCGGGGTCTTTTTGAGCAGGTTGGAGGGGGGCATAAATTTCAACTTGGGGTCTTTCTTCTTCAGCTTCCTGGGGCGGGGCTTTGGGCAAAGGCTGGAGGAAAATGCTGCTGGTGGCAAACAGGCAGAGGGCCTTGTTCCAGTGGGACAGCATTATGGCTTGGAACTGGTTGACCATCTCAGCCCGCACTGGTACCTGACCTTGCCTTGCACTCCCACAGGTCTTCCCTCTGCTTGGAAAGCCTATACTCATAGTCCTCAATGAGGTGCTTTTATTAAGCCTCCTTCTCAGTCAGATCCAACAACTGCTTTCTGTTGAGGCCCTAAAAAACCCGGGCAGGAAGAATGATGAGTGGCTGGGAGGGGAGGGGCGAGTAGAGGTTGATAAGGCAGCCTTCGATGTGAGTGGCATTGAGTTGGCCACGCCTTAACAATCATATGACCAGTTAGCCACGCCCACACAGCTGGTCATTAGGCAGATCATGTTAGTGGTCCGTGTGATTTAAAATTATGAATTTAGTGTTCCCTGAGTTCCGAAAAGTTGGGGAGCCCCTAAATACAGGGCTACTCCCAGGTGGGAAACCCAGTTTTCTATTTCTTTCTGATCTCTGAGAATTGTTTGTTGTTTCACTTCATGCCTTTTCTCTGAGGTATACCCGAATCCACTCCAAATTTGATTGAAGCAAAATCTGAAGCACACCCAGGAAGATACAAGCATTTTGAGCAAAATAGACAAAGAAAACATCTCATTTTCAGATAAATCTTTTGATTTTTGTGCATTTTTTAAAATCAGATACATATGTACCTTAGTGTAGTTTGTATGTTGGTGTGGCAGTTGATTCCTATCCTGCATTCTTTTTTTTTCTTAAAGAAATCCATGGGTGATTGTCTTGGCATCCAGAGCCATCTCCCATGCCTTAAATTCATGTGAACCAGTACTATGAAGACCTCTGCAGGATTTTGATAAACTCAACTCCATTAAAGAGTTGAGATTACTTAATTTCAGTTCAAGCAAAACGTCTGTGTCTTTTAAACTTCACCCAACTTTTCCAACTATTACAAGAAAATGGCGACATTAAAAATGGATCTATTTTCCTTTTAAATGCTTTGTCCAAATTATTAAAAGCAGAGGGATTTCCCCACCTAAATGCATATTGAACCAGACAACTTATTTTTAAGTTTTCAGAGGCTTAACTCAACAGATATAGTGAGGTTCAACTATGAAGGGCAAGGCCAAATAGATTGGGTGTGATCCAGCTACCAAAGCAGTTTTAAACCCCTATCTAACTGATGTTTAAATTAGGATCAGCAGCTGTGTTGTGTTACTGGAGCAGCACAAGGCAGCTGCAGTTTGCTAATCTTTTTCAGACATCTAAGACAATTAACTACCGGGAGAAATGGGCAGGGATTACAAACACAAGCACCATCAAATTCTGGAAAGTATAGCATGCCTAGATGAATTCACTAGGAATTGGGAGTACCCCAACAACTGCAGCATAGAAATTCTTACACTTGTAACAAAATATTGTAAGGAATCTTTCAGTTCTATGCTTAACCCAGGCAGCTGTGCTCTCTTCTAGGATGCTCCATTCCATTTCCCTGTCCATGCTACATATTGATATGAAGTATTTCATGACTACTATATAGCAATCCTGATTGGATTAGGCTTATTTATTTATTCATCATACTGGTATGCTACCCATCTCACAATGAAGTGACCCTTATTTAGACTTAGAGGTATGGATGTGTGACTCTACTTCCCGAAATATTTCCTGTATACTTGTGATAATTCAGAAACTGTGCTAATAGTACATGGATCTTTCTCCAAGTAATTTAGCAATAGCACTTAGATTTATATACCGCTTCACAGTGCTTTACAGCCCTCTCTAAGCGGTTTACAGAGTCAACATATTGCCCCCAACAATCTGAGTCCTCATTTTACTGATCTCAGAAGGATGGAAGGCTGAGTCAACCTTAAGCTGCTCAGAATCAAACTCCTGGAGTGAGCAGTGAGCTAGACCTGCAGTGCTGCATTCTAACCACTGCACCACCACGGCTCTTAATTTATCTCCAAGATCAGTTGCTAAATGAGCTGTATCAGCATCATGATCAGCCCTTTTTCTCAGCCTCCTGAAATTTTGCCACATTATAGGATTATTGAAAATTACAACATTGCCCAGTAAGTAGAAAAAGATTTGATTGCCAAACACTTCCTTGGCAGTGGCTGGAAGGATTACCTAGGTTACTTGTCTTAATATCTTTGAAAAGCAGGTTTTCCCTCTATGAAGCTTTTTTCCCAAGAGCATTCCTTTTCCTTGAGCCAGCCACCCAGCCACACAGGCAGACAGACAGACAACACATACTATTTATTCCGGGGGAGGGGCAATCAGAATCACAGACAGAAACAAGTCCTTAGCAATGCTAGCTTGACCCTCACATTAAATGTAAAACACTTTTCTACAAAAGCCCATCTATAATGACTAGCCAACCTGGCAGAGAACATAGTCAACTAGCCAACAGACGAGAGTAATAGGGAAGAGCTTCATTTATGTAAACATCCAAGATAAAGATATAAAAATATTTAAAAGATTCAATGAAGATGAAACAACCATTTAGCATTTGCAAAACATGACAGTCCAGAATAGTAGAAAGGCAAATATGAGTGTGACTTCAGAAGGAGAATCAAGGTTCACTATATTCAATCATGAAAACTAAGAATAGTCCCAGTTTTCATAATGCCATTTCCCTCTATTTAATGATACCTCAAAGGTGTTTAAGGCAGAGGTAAGTCACCTGCTTTCACAGGCTTTATCTCAAGGGTGCAATTCAAAACGTTATCCCAGCATTGTCCCAATGAAATGGCATTGCGTACCTGCTGAAGAACACTGTGTATTCAACACAGTGTTCTTTGATCCCAGTTGGCTTTGCCTCAAACATAAACTTCATTTAACAATGTTATTTTTTTCTGAGACTGCAGCAGACTTTTGTACACACTGTAAAAAAGAAATATCAGATCTAGGACAAGAGAATGGGACTCTTGTGTTATTCCCACTCCTTTATGTGAGCCAAGAATGTGACACCATACACTTGCCTAGAAGTTCAATCTTTTATCCTAGATTGCAAAATCATAATCTCTTTACCAAGTTTGGAAAGAGGAAATAATGGTCAAATGGACCAAAAATCCTATCCCATCAATCACATAATAGTGTTTTTGAAGATTTATCTGTCAGAAAAAAAATCTCTGAGATACCTTAATATTTCTTCTTCCTTTAGATGGGAAGACTTGAGTCATTAAAGGAATACTTACAGTAATTAACAATTTGACTGCTGGTCTTTTCAATAGATCAGAGTGTCCCCAATTTATTGTCTGTCCCATTTGAATTGGAGGGAGAGGCCTTTAAAAGCAAGTCCTGGAAAGTGGGTGGGGTTTATCAGAGTGTCTGATTAAATTTGGACTCTGAGTCCAGCTCTGTACTGTGCAGGACTGGCTAAACAATGTGGTAATGAATGACCAATTATGTTTCATAGCTGCAATTTCGACAGATCTTCTCCTTCAGAGAGGACCCAGGATCTTCTGCATCTGGAGAGCAGCAGTCCAAAACAGTGGCTCTTAAAGTAGCCAGCAGATGGATTGCTCCTTGGCTTTAACACCTTCTTTTGCCCTCCCCCAACTCCTCCCCTTCGGCAAGCTTCAAATCAAGCAGCGCGTACAAAAAAAACCTCCGCTTGAGCGAAATTTGGGCGCGCGCCGGTTTGGTGGCTATCTAAAATAACAACGCTTCGGGGTTACTGAAAGTGCTTTTCAGAGACCCGGCAGCTGGAATATTGTACACAGAAGTCTCAATTCTGTGCTAAGGAAATACATATGCAAGCTGCCAGACATTATCATTAGGTAAATAAGGCAATATATGCAACCCTCACGATACCAAGGAAGGCATTGAATAAGAAATCAAACATACTGTAAGTACCCTGACTATCTGGACAAAGTGAGTGGTTCTGTCCTGTTTGGGACTCATTATACCTAGGTAGCCAGATGTTATTCTATGGAGTTCAAATCCTCACCATGAACTCATGGACCTTTGCATTTTAAAAGGTTATATGCAGTGCATGAACTTTAGGAGCTATCCAAGTCCTGGCACTCAGTAGGTAGAGAAAGTAATATATACTATCCATTAGAATCACCTTTCCTTCAAATCTCAGAACAGAGAGATACAAATGGATCTTGCTGTGCCTTTGTGTACCAGGTATTCCTTTTCTATCTATTGGCATACACAAACAATACTGAAGAACCAATTCTTTCTAGAAGCTATGGGAGAAGTCTAGCAGGATCAGTGTGGTTAGTGTTACCCAAGAAGAAGTTGAGGAAAGTTCTCATGGCAATAAGCTAAAGAATATCCTTATCTCAAGGATAGCCTTAGGAATGGAAGAAAAACAATATTTGGAATTAAGGTTGCAAGTTATGAACATTTACAGGGTAATAATCCACATTTAACCTGTTGGTTTTTCTCCCTGACATGCATGCATGGGATCCAGCTACAAATCCTTCTAAACTTAATAGGATTTGGTTTTCAGCTAACATGTTTAGTGGTTTAGCACTGCCTTCTTTTATAAATTCAATTTTGCTACACTCTGCTAATTAATTGTGATTTGGTATCTACATTATGTTGGGAAGCTTATAATAATAATAATAAATACCTTCCTCTTTCCGATAAACTGAGCATTGGATGCTGTCCATAGTTCTGCAGTTATAACCATGACCCTCCAATAGCTATTGATTTCAGCAATATTTGCATGACACTGTTTATTCTTACTCTAAACATGTTATAAAATCATTTCTTTCAAGTAAAGTAAAATGGATAAATCATACTCAGGCAAGGTAGTTTTTTTTAAAGTAAAAAAACAAAGCTAAATTGGCACCTACAGCTTTGGAGATTGTCAGCTGCACACAACTCTGCCTACAAAATGGAAAAACAAAACTTTATTCTTGAAGGATATAATTTTGCTGAGAATGGAAACTTGAGGCCATCTGACAAAAACAGAGGTCAGTAGATCTACTGAAGTCAAATCTAGCTAAAAGGAGTTATGTTTCCAAGAAGCAGTGAATACAGGATACTATTTTTTTTTAAAAAAAAACCTATCAAACTTTGCTTAACAAAAGCTGCTTTGTGAAAGTAAAATAAAACTGCATAAAATAATTTGTTCACTTTTCTTACTGCATACTTGCTTAAACTTAGCAGGAATCTGAAAGATCAGAAAGCTGTGCATGGTTTTTCTTTCAGAAAAGGGGAAAAAAACCCCTTCACTTTCACAGGAAACCATTAAAAAAAACTCTAAATGCAGATTGATGCCAATAAGCAGCTGCTATAAAGAACTATATACTGTAATCTCTGGGTTCCTTCTGTGCTTCTGGGTACATAATAATCCTAGAGAATCAGCTACTTGATGTCTAATGGGTATCACAATGTCAACATTTGCACCTGCAGTGCAATTCAAAACTGCTTGTATCCAACTCAGCAGTTATTAACCACAGCAAATGATGTAAGTGGGAATTTTAAATGTGACAGAGCAAGAATTTTTGCAGAAAGTTTTCCTAATCCAAGTTGAATTCTTAAGTACCTTCACCTTCACTGTTTTCTAAGCTGTCTTCATTCCATGCAGGCATTTCTCAACTGTGCTAAAATTGTTTAGCAGTTTAGAAATAAAATCCCAGTGCAGAAATAACGCCACTGAAAGTGTCTATAGCAATCTTCAAGCCAAAATCTGATTACACATACAGCAAAATTATCAATTATATATATATTTCAAAAAGAAGTCAAATAGGAAGAAAGATTTACCTTCAAGAAATCACAAAAGCAGCACTTAAATAATAGTGTTGAAAGACTGTTGGTTTTCCCCATTGCTTCTTAAGTGCAAACTCTGGAAATGAATTGGTTAGCAGAAAAATAATGAGGGGGGGATAAAAAAGAAAAAAAAAGAAATCCAGGAGATGTTCACATATCAATATTGAGGAGTTTTATTCCATTGCGCAGGCTTGATCTGCTCTGATTTGAGAGTGAGATTTAGCAAACAGAAGATTTAGAGAAAATCCTCACATTTATCTACATTACAGACACTGTAGACAGGAAACAGCTGGAGGAGCATTTGATCTCTCTCTCTTCTCTCCTTTCTCTCTCTCTCTCTCTCCTCTCTCTCTCTCTCTCTTTCTCTCCCTCTTCTGGCAGAGTTACTGAGTAAGGATTTTTGGGCACAATGACAAATAACATCATACCTTTGCATTTTGAAACTGGAGCACTGAAGTGTCGTTGGGTTTTTTCCACCCAATCCCCCTCCTTCTTTAAAAGAATGCACGCTTCTGAATGGAAGACAAGAAAATATAGTTGAAGAACTCCGAGAAGCTGAAGCTGCAATAAGAAATGAAACATGTAAATGGACATGTTTCAGCTGGCTGCAATAGATACCCAGAGATTAATTCAGATACCTTTGCGCTGTGTTGTCCAAGAAGCTGCTGGGATTTCTGCATGTTGGCCATTGTGAGAACCAGCTCTTCTTAATATCAATGCTAAAAATCACCTTTTGCCATCTGATTCCTACCAGAATGGCTAATCCATATACAATGCACATCCTCGTGCCTTTTATAAAACCCGCTGGAATAAATGCATCTTGACAGAAGTGGAACATTTTTGTTTTTTTCCTTCTACCCCAGGGGTGTCAAACTCACATCATTGTGGCGTCATCAGGGGACGTATCACAACTTTTTTCCTCTTTCCTAAACCCGTCATGGGCATGACCAGCGCGTGACGTATCCGGCCCACGGGCTACAAATTTGACAGCCCTGTTCTATCGCACCTATTCATTGATGTTCCACAACATTTTGCTTTTTGTTTTGTTTTGTTAAAGCAAGATGGTGTGAATGGGCAAAGAATTCAGTGATCATGTAAGATGGTCTGTTTTTTTCAAGAGCTAATCTGGGTCAGTCACCAGAACTAGAGATTTAGTCTTTTGAGCTTTTGCACTCGTGCTGGAACTGATCTTCAGGGAATTTCTCGTCCATCGTCAAGGAAGTCTCCTGAGGATGGGCTCCAGCATGAGTCTGAAAGCTTGGAAGACTAAATCTCTAGTCCCAGTGACCAACCCAGATTGGATCGTGCAATATTATCCTTAGACACATATATTTGTCTTCATTCATGATTTTCTTTCTTTGCAGATGAAGGATTTTTGCTTGTTTTTCAGGGATGTTACTCCTTACTGTGGTATATATGTTATACTTTAACATTTATGTTTTGGTATGTATTTCACAAAACCTAAATGTTAAAGTCTAAAACGTATACCACAGTAAGTAATAATGTCCCTGAAGAACAAGGAAAAATCCTTCATCTGCAAAAAAAATGTTTTGGTATGTATTTCACAGGAGACGCGGTGGCTCAGTGGCTAAGATGCTGAGCTCGTCGATCAGAAGGTCATCAGTTCAGCAGTTTGAATCCCTAGCACCGTGTAACGGAGTGAGCTCCTCTTACTTGTCCCAGCTTCTGCCAAGATAGCAGTTCGAAAGCATGTAAAAATGTAAGTAGAAAAATAGGAACCACCTTTGGTGGGAAGCTAACAGAGCTCCGTGAGCCCTCAGAGTTTAGTCATGCCGGCCACATGACCACAGAGATGTCTTTGGACAGTGCCGGCTCTTTGGCTTAGAAATGGAGATGAGCACCACATCTAGAGCCGGAAACGACTAGCATGCATGTGCACGGGAACCTTTACCTATGTATTTCACTCAAAAATGGCAGGAAACTGCCACTGAATTTGGTAGTTGAGAATGGAAGAAGCTGCACAATTCTGTACTAAATTATTAGGAGAGGTCTTCAGGAAGGGAATGTGGTTTGAAGATACCAAGTTATTCCCTAACAATAACCCTAAGTCTAGAAAGTCCTTTCTAAGACAGAAACTGAGGTGCAGGTGGATGGTCTTACTCCCAATCATGAGAAGATAGTAGCTAGTTAGATGGATAGTTTGACTTCACATAAGATAACTGAGATCTCAAACAGTGAGACTTCTCAAATTCCTATCAGCAGCAGAAAATTTTTTGGCAGTGGAGCTGTTCATGGTAGGGCAACACACTTTATTATCTGCCCGTATCTATAGATCAAGCTGGCCCTCAAATATCTTTGAAAAAGTACCTGAAATGGTCAGCATCCTTGGAGGGAGATGATCAAAACTGCTGATATATGTCACATCTCGTCAGTTATTGGATGTTCTTCTTTTACATCTTTATTCTTTTCTCAGTTTTTTTCTGATTTACAAATAGCACATAGTGGCCAGAAATAGGAGGATATGATGTTATTGATCAGTTAAATCAAGTTGAAAATATAAAAATCCAAAGCAATAGATATAATCTGTTTAAATTATATATACTTTAGGACGAAGATAATTATCATGTGCAAGAATCAAAGCATGCATTCTTGCAATACATTGTTGTGTTTTTCTTTGCAGGCTCTTGGGAATTTCTTACTTAGTAAAAAGGGGGGAGGGGAGCTACTTTCTCTGTGATTTGGATGAAATTATAAACCTGAAAAAATGTTTTCTGCAAAATATTTGCAAACTTTACCATCATCGGAAGAATGAAACAGATTCTGAAGCATGAGAAGTGTTGGAATATAAAGTTGTATGTTCCACTAGGCCTGTACTATCTCATTTCAAAAGGCAGTTTCTTTCAAGTGTGTGAACAGTACTGAAAAGCTGAAAAAACTGCAGTAGTATGAGCACAGACCTCATTAAAGCACCCATATCTTAAGCTGCCATGCAAGCAGCAATATTTCTTAATGCAATTTATTAAAACAGTCATAAGCTTCAGGTTTGTGATTTACCAAGGCAGTAGTTGCCTAGGTCAGGGTGTCAAACTTGTGTCGTCACATCGTCATCACATGAAGTATCATGACTCCCCCCTTTGATAAACCAGGGGTGGGCGTGGCCAGCATGTGACATTTCTGGCCCGTGGACCGCACATTTGACACTCCTGGCCTAGATGGATCCATAGGAAGGGATGTTTTTTTAAAGAGGTGCTACATTCATGCTCCTGCATATATCTAAGCATGTTTGAAGTACGCACAGCCCTACTATGCTATGGTCAGCGTAGAAATAAAATTAAGCTGCCAACCTTTATGGGAGATTGAGGAGATATTCTTTCCTTCTTCACAAATAGATGGATATGCTGGAAAGGGCATGTTTTAGTCCATTTACAGATGACTCAAGTACTAAAGCTGAGTTCGTATGTTTCCCATATTGTATATTATAGTCAAATATAAGAATGACTGCCGTCAAATACAACGCTATGGAAAGCTAGGCAAAGTTCACACATTAAGTCAAACTTCATGGATTGGGGTGCTTTTCATTCACAGTGTTCTGACCTAGGCTTCCCAAGATCATGAAGCAGACTCCTCATCCCGATAAAACCTCTTTTATTTAGGTTAAAGGGGATTCTTCTCCAGCAAAGTCCCAGCAAACAGTCTTTCATGAGATTTCACAACTGCAGTCCTTTATCAGGCTTGGAGAGTTGCAAAAAGGGGAAATGGTCAAACACTAAGACATATATTTTACTTTTTCATGAAACGTGTAATATACATAACAAATCTATGTGCAGTGCAGTACAAATCGGGGAAAACCCCACTATTTCTTAAGTGGGGAACAATTCACTCCACCAACAGTTCAAACCACAAGTTAAGTAGTGGTGTGAAAAACTCTATATTGCCTACAAGCTGAACACTGTTTTGCTAGTCATAGACCCTTATACTGAATATTAGGGTTGGATTCACTTTAAAAAAAGTGATTCATGACGTGTGTTTGGCCCTTCTGCAAGCACAGCATCCCTCTGCTACCATTGATCCTAAAGGATAGTGGTACAAAAAAGTTTCAAGACAGGGACATCCTCCAGGGGGAATCATAAAACCAAGATGATGAGTACACTGAAAAATTGAAGGCCCTTTTCTGTTTATATGCAACACATATGAAATTGGGCTGGGCTTCAGTTGTGTCATCATATGACTTCCCCCTGCGGACACCACTACCCAGGTTGGAACATGGCCAACAGATCCCTAGCATGCTTCAGCCAAGTGGAAAGAAGTGTCTCTGTAATTTTTCTCCCAATTGCTTTAACAACTGGCAGAGAGCTTTGCTGAGGACTCGGGAGTAAGCAGAGCTCGGCACTCTATGTTGTTTTGAAGTCTGTGGATAGGATAGTAAGGGCAGGGAGAGCCCTGTTCCAGAGCCATGCTCATTGGTTGTATAGCATAGAGGATTGGGTGACCTGATAGGCTGGTCTTTGGGGATATTATGGTCTGTGTGTGTGAGAGAGAGAGGGGGGGGGAGAGGGAGGGGGAGAGGGGGGAGAAATGGTGAGAGAGAGATGGGGGGAATAGACCTTGGGGAGATGTGATGTTGAGGAACACATTTCCATGTTGACAGACAAATGGGAAGATGTTGCATGTGCTGCTCCAGGAAAAGCAGGACCTTTGGTTTGTGGCAGGGCCTCACATCTATTGTAAATGTTCCAACGCTGGAAGTTTTAAAGAAGAGATTGGATAACCATTTTTCTGAAATGGTATATGGCTGTGCTGGCAGATCTATGACACATGTGCCGGAAGTGGCACACAGAGCCATCTCTCTGGGCATGCCAGCTGTCGCCCATTGTTCTTCCGGATTCTGGAAACTGGAAGATCAGCTCCCGACGTGCATGCATGCACCGGCCAGATGGTCTTCATGAGCGCATGTGCGCCAGGAACCAGAAGACCATGTACTCATGCACATGCCAAAAATCAGATGTTCAGCTTCCTGGCATGCACATGCTTGCTGGAGAACTGCTCTTCCAGTTTTCGGTGCTCCCCTGCATGCATGTGCATGCTCCCATTTTGGCACCAAGTGCCCAAAAAATTCGCCAAAACTAGCATAGGGTTTCCTACCTGTGCAGGGGATTGGACTGGAGGATCTCCAAGGTCCCTTCCAACTCTATTTTATTCTGTTCTGTTCCACTCCAATCTGCTCTATTTTTGCCTTACTTCTGGATCTATGTGGTTAGATTG